TTTACATACTAATTTGTTGACCGTGCGCTATGTTGAAACTGGAGTTTGCTCAGTGGTGGTGGTGGCAGGGGACGGGAGGAAAAGAGGGCTGGAGGGAGGGAGGGGGAAGAATGTCTGACATGGAAAGATAAAAAAAAAAATAAAAAAAATGCACAAATAAATACATTATGGGAGTTGAAGAGGGAAATGCAGTAAACTGTAAGAAAGTTATAAAGCCATAATCTAGATGTTTAGGTTATTTACTAGTATGGTCACGATTCTAAAATGTCAAACTCTATTTCAATACAAAGGACTAAATGCAATTCTCAATATTTGTTCCAATAAAATATTATTTTCAACATTAAATGACACTTTCTTTTATATTACCATGTGGCCTTATATTTTGTCTAGGTAGGTTCCATATTGGTCCATGTGGTCTTGTTCTGATACAGCTCAAGACCATTTTAAAGCTATTCAGAAAAAGTACTCAATTATTACTATTACTGAACATTTACTCCCATCCAAAATACTGTTTTTTTTTTTTTTAGTAATGCCTGTAGATTGCTGTCAATTCCAGAAAAATCACAGGACAAAAGCACAAATTATCAGCATGAAACACGGATAAAATGAAGTAAAATACTGAACTAAAATAGAACTAGACCAAACTGTGCAAGTACCAAATCCTGCAGGACAAGTTAAGGGCCAAAAAGGACAACACCAACTGGTCTACAAACTACTACTTTAAACAGGATTCAACAAAAGACAACAAAGCCTGAAGCGGGACCAAACCAGGACTAAAGCTGGATAAACTTTTTCAAAATTTCACTTCAGACCAACCAGATAAAGGTACACCGACTACTTGTACCCTCACCACAGTTTGAGAACCAATGGTGTATTCCACGAAGCACAAATGTTTTATGGGTAGACAGGCTGTAAGAGCAGAGAGATCCAGGTTTGAAAGGGCGCTGCATGTGGGAGTGGGAGGGAGGAGAGGGGTAGGGTTGAGACAGGGGTGTTGAGTGGGAGGATGGAGAGAGGAAAGAGAGATAGAAAGAGAGAGGGAGAGAGAGAGGAAGAGAGAAGCAGTGGGCTGTTTCCATGTAGAACAACAAAAGAGCAGGTTTACTGGTCCGACAAGACTCCTGTCACAAAGCAGCACACACAAGTACAACATAATCTCAATTCTACAGGAAGGAAAAAAACAAGACATGTTAGCTTAGACTATAAAAGGAATGTTGCTTGGTTTCAGATGACATCACAGTAATTACTAAGAAAGATGGGGCTAGTGTTGTCAGATATAATATTTCAAACTTGACTCAATACTAAGGAATAGACTTGACACTTAATATCTATTCCAATACCATGATGATAATAAAAGACACTTTAGACAACAGAATGTCATTTTCAACATAAATAATAGCACTTTCTTTTATACTACCATCTGTGTAATTCCTCATTTTCTCAGGTAGGTTCCATAGTGCTCCATGGGTGTATAATAGACTATGTGGTCTTATACTTGTTCTGCTGATGATCAAGAGCATTTTAAATCTATTCTGGAAATTCATTTCTGTTCGGTGAATGTTCCTTTTTTAGTATCGATACTTGCTCAAATTAGTATCTATTTTAATTTTAGAATCAAATATCAGATTTTTGATGTTTTTGACAACACTAGATGGGGTAGGTTAAATCTCACTATTATGTTCAAATGCTATGTTTGGTGTGGCTGAATAAATAAAAATAAAAATATTAATATAAATATTAATATACATATAAATAAATAAATATAGCAAGATAAATGGTATGACTGGTACATTAGAGGTTAAACATTTGCAGATGTTTCTTCTGGAAATTCCATTTGAGAATACAAAAGCAAATTGTTTCTGTGACATCACTTCCAAAGTGCATTAGATAAGGGATTAGTAATATTAGAACAAAGTTCACACAGATTCACACACATAGTTATTCTAACTAATTATGCCTAAATATAGTAAGTATTTTGCCTAATTTTGAGCTCATTTTATCCACGTTTTTGTCCTCCTTTGGATAATTTCTTGTTTACAACTATGCACAGAAAAATTATGTAGTGCACTTTTAGACCTGGTTTAACCTGAGATTAGATCGGAACAGTCCTGTTATGTACTTGATTTATATCTGGTGATACTTGGAAAGCCAATCCTTTTTTTTTGGTGTTAGTTTGTGTGAAAGGTTCGGGAGCCACCACTGGTCCAGGGAACTCATTTTCTATGCAATAAAAACAGAAATACTGGCTCTGACTTCAAACAAGCACCTTATCACTGCAACAGAATATGGGTAAGTGTAAAAGGATTATTCCATGTGGTTATGTGGCTTGGTGGACTTCACAGGAGTTGTTTTGGTGATGACATAATTCGCAAGAGATAAAAATGTGCATGGTAGCCATAGACAGGTGGAGGAGGGTACAACCTGTGATTACAACATCAAAGCGGTTTAATCAGAAAGTCTAATGGAGGGACCACACACTTGACCAATAAGAAACGCAACAATAGAATCGAGTAGTGCATATGCATTAGCAAGCAGCTACCCAGCGTTATATTTGTTCATTAACACATTTCAGCATGGGTTTCGTCAATGTGATATTTTTGTTAATGAAAACGAAATAAAAACTAAATAAAAGGTCATTAAAAATTTACAAAAAAATTGTTCTGTGCAACATTTTGATTTTTGATTATACAATATTTTGTTTTCAATTGCTAATCACTATGGCAACTGTGCTAACTTCTAAAACCCATTCATAGGAACTAAACAAAAAGAAAAATGGGCTAGAGCAGGTACAGGGCAATAAAATCAAATTTCAATGGGCCATTTGATGTAACCACTAATATTCTCCAAAATGATTCTCTAACATGAATTTTCAAATAAACACTGCCTCTATTTTCCTAAAGGAACAGCAATGAATGCGCTTCCACACACAGGAAATTTTGTGAAAGATCTTGGCACCCCATAACGGAATCCCAGAATGTCCGGCTTGATTCCAGCTTGTGTGTTTGTAGTATTTACCAAAATGTTTTTCTTAGAGTCGCAAAGGTTAGAAGTTATTTTTTTCTTTATTTTTCAAAGAACCACTCTCTTGTGATCCTCCTGTCATCACATTAGTTTCCCAAATTGGCCAAAGTCGGGCTCAGAGTTTCCTAAAATACGCTGCGCTGTGATCCGTGCAAGGGCTGGAAGGCACAATGAGTCACTTAATTAACAAAATTTACTTTACTCTGCTTCATAACACAGCACTCTTTGAACACGCGTTTCCGACTGCCCACACAAAATGTCTAAACCTCAAATGTCCAGTCCAGCTATAGTTTTTGAAAACGTCGTAATAAACAACACAGAGAATTAGGATATGGGTGGAGACAAAGGCTGTTGATTCGTTAGTTGGACTTCCAGACACAAAGAAAGCCTGTTGTTTACGGTTGGTTTTAGACAACGGAGCAGTCAGAGCCAGTTATGTAAAAGCAATTACTGCTCTTTACCTTGGACACTCCGAAAACAACATTGGCCACAAGAAAACTAATTTACTAAATCGTGATTACATTATTTAAAAAATGTATTGTAAGCTGTCAGTTTACTTTTGTTGCATCCTAAAATAGAATGTGTTTGAAAACTGAACAGCTGCGATAAAGAACTGGTAATGCGTTTAAACACAAGAGTTTGGAGTAATCAAGGTTTGGCAGCTTCTTCAATTACTTAAAAGGTGCATTGAGTAACTTTTCTGGTGGAGGGTCAGTCAAACGTTTTTCTCCATGGAGATGTTATTGCTTTGTCTGGCATGTTTCACAGTGTGGCATTAAACCTTTGTATCTCCATGGAGTCAGAATATCTATTTTTTTAAGGTATTTTGAGCTGTAAAACCACCTGTAATTGAATAAATGTAAGGTACAACTGTTTAATGTCATACTGTGGAACATTCCAGGCAGAACAATGACATAGGGACAGAAAAAAGCAGGTGGTGGACCCTCAACCATAAAGTTACATAGTGCACTTTTAAAAGATGTGAGCACAGTCAGAGTCTGTAGACCTATAAATATTTAGCCTTTATACATTTATGCATATAAGCTAAAGGTCACACTATACAGAGTGTTGTGAGAGACAAGCATTTTCACAAGTACTGAAGATGTTTATAATAGTAAATCTTACTTTGAATGTATGAATGCACCTTTTAGTCTGAAATTGAACCAACTAATATATAAAGAATTGATTCCAGTGTTTTGAAAAAGCAATACATATACCTAGGGGTGTAACGATATCCAAGTCTCGCGATACGATTTCATCACGGTATGAAACTCGCGGTACGATATTTATTGCGATATCGTGAGAAAGATCATGATACGGTGGAGAGGCTCACGATTAGGGATGTAACAAAATCCAAATCTCTTGGTACGATATTTTCACGATATACATCTCACAGTACAATATTTATTATGATATTTTGTGGAGGCTAAACAGCTAAAAATGTTAATATGCTACTTTTTCCTCTTAAAATGCCTTGACAAGACTTAATCCAAAAGACTTAACAGTGCTTAGAACTGTTATTTCTTGATGTAGTCTGCGCTGAAATGGAGCAAAGGATCAGGGTCTCTGTAGATTCCTCTGTCTTTTTTTAGCTATAGCTGCACCATAACTCTTAATTTACTTGTAATTCGATATATTGTGATGGTCCACGATATTATTGTGAGAACTTTGACGATACGATATCACGATATTTCAGTTACTGTTACATCCCTACATATACCACTAAGCTAAAAAAGAACACTTAATCAGTTTAAACTCTGACCATACAGTCACAGATTTTTTTTATAACAAATGCAAAAAGTATCACATGTCTTTATGTTGTTGGCCTTTTATTTAGACCAGAGAAGTACAATTAAGATTACAAGGAGGAAGCTTAGAAACGAAAGAAAAAGTCTATATTTTCTTCTTTTGTGTTTCTATTGTCTCTTTATGTGTCGTTCGTGTTAGGTTATCTCTAGTCGTTAAAACAGACTTCATACCTGTGACTGGAGCCTCTATGTCCAGCAGGTTTTTCTCTGCTCTCAAAATGGCCGCTCCCTCCCCGATGAGCCTCATAGCCACTGACTCTTCCACACGACCCTCCTTTGTCAGATGGGCTTTGAGCACGTCCACTTTGGGCTTCCCATCACTGTCGAACACCTCTTTAGCCGTCAGCCGGTGACTGGGAGGAAATGGGACAGCTGCAGAGGGAGAAAGAGATAGAAATCATATTACTTCTGATCATAGTTAATAGGAAATCAGTTAAAATTCACCTATCGAATCTAATCCAACTTTATTTAAGTCTCCAAAGTACTGCACAGAGTCGGCAAAACATAAATTAACACATTAAATCAAATAAAGCATAAAAAATAAATAAGCAAGTCAATAAAAAAACAAAAAATACCAAACTTAGCAAATAGAAAAATAGAAAATAAAATCAATAAAAGACAGTCAGAGGAGCACACATTTCTCATGCTGGGTTAAAAGCCAGTGAGACTAAAAAGCATCAACTGAAGGCCTGGTCATAATGTGAGAGGGCACGCGTGTTCCATTCAATGAATAACTCAAATAAAAAAGGAATAGCAATTTCGAGTTTTCTGACACCTTATTTCTTTTTTTTTTAATAGCAGTACAACATTTTGGTTACTTTTCCCACTGTGAACAAAGCTATACTTAACAGAGCTGCAACAATTTGACTTGGAAAATATGACGATGCATGTGGAGTGTGTCGATGTACTGACTTTATAGAGCGGAGGCTTCAATTAATGTGGCACTTATAACAGGTACATTCTTGCTCTGAACATCCAAACTGTATTTCCACACAAAACACAGCAGTACACGTGTGAGACATACACAGAAGAACATTGTCAGAGAGTTTTCAGATCAGGAAAAATCATGTTAACTGTGTGGCTGAATAAAAAGTGAAACAAGAAAGTGCTCCTTGTGTTGTAAAATCTGCTTTATCCAAAACTCTGTCTAAACATAAATTGTCCTTGCAGCCCTAAAACTTCTTTTTCTTTCTTTCTTTTTGTTGACATTAAATATATTTGAACATTTAGGCTTGTGGTATTATACTTTGTCTTCTGCATTTGACCCATCCTCCAGTCCCACTTGAGTAACATGCAGGAACAGTGGGAGTCACAATGTAGCACCCAGGGACTCGTCTCCAGAAATTATCAGCTTGGATTCAGTAAAATTCAGATTATTCACATGGAGAAGAGAAGAAATTTAATTTTATTTGTGTTTTTGAATGTTTGTTTGAATAATCCTTTATTATTAGACATTAGCTCAAATTGCTCTGTTCTACTTTGTAAAGTGGTAGTTTTCAAGTTAACAGCTACCTTTTATCTTTTTGTCAGTGGATTGGCAATTCCAGAGCTGAAATTACCCAGATGATTTTTATGAATGTGTATGGAGTTTAAAAACACAGTGGAGGACTTCTTGTATTACGACATGACAAGGCAGAACAGAGTGTTTTCTGTTTGAGAGAAGAATTCAGCCTAAATATACAGGGTTTGTGTGTTAAACATGCATGAATGACTGAAACAAAACACAACTCGGGTATGTTTTTGATGAGGAAACAACATTATAACATAGATCAGAAAACTGCGTAAAATGGGTCTTTTAAATTCATAAAGGAAACCACAAACAAAATCCAGAGCAGAAACCAAACCACAAGCAGCCCCATCATTCCCCACATAAGATCTGAACCTGACATACTTCTGTATTTTTGCTTGAATAATTTTTTACCTACCCTTATCATTGAACACATTTTCATCTGCTAATATTGAAAGAGGCTCCCTTGACAAAGGGCTTATGAGAATGCATGGCTGGCTCCGCAGCAGTGAGCACAAGCGTTTAAGCAGTTTGATTAGCAGGTACTTCAGGGGAGCTGCCCCCCACGGGAGCCATGTTAAGACCTCCCTCTGAGACCATTCACATCCTAACTGCTATGATCCCAGTGATTCCTCTTCATCAATATTTATAGCCAAACGCAACACTTTCTGAGAATTTGTCTTGTAAATGAAGATCTGCTATGATGACAGGTTTTATTATAGGTTATTTCTCAGCTTTCAGAATACAATACACTACAATAGGGCTGCAAGATGAATCTAATTGAATCATTTAATCTAATTGAAACAGCAATTTAAATGGACGTAATTAGCAAAATGCAAAGGCTGTCATTTTTGATATACCACCATTTGCTCAACATATCCCATCTTTTTCTGTATAAAAGTGGCTAACCTTGTAGTTTAGAGCTGCACAAACATGTTCTGAAATGTGATTCTTGTATTAGTTTTCAGTTCAGTTCATAGTCTTTTCATCAATTCTGCCTACATTTAAAACATGAACGTGAAACAGTTTCATATTAATAAATCATATATCGCAAATCTAATCTGGATTTCTAATTGATCACTGCTACAATACAATACAATTTTGAATATATTTTGATCAGTCACAAATATGGCGCAAATAAGAGTCCACAATGTAAGCATAAGCAAAACTACATGTTAAAACTGACCCAGATTTTTTAAAATTCTATCCTTTTTGTGGACTTAATCTTAACTATATGACCAACTGTAGTACAAAACTACGCTACAGACATCTTAAGAAATACAGATAACAAACATTTCTGTATATTAAGTCTCTTGGGTATAAAAGCTGTCATTTAATCTAGTGGTTTGTGGGCACAACACCAGGCGATGAAATTAATCAAAACCATTACAAAGCAATGTTCCTGTGAATTTCTATAATTATCTTTACATAAAACAGCCTCTCAGCACCACTCAATACAACCCTGTATACAACTGCAGTTTTCAGTAGCCTCAATCCAATTTTCATTTAATGCATTGTACTTTCTAAACTAATTGCAGAGTGAAAAAACAGACTATTTCTATGCAAATAACGAAGGTCTCTTTACATGGGCAAAAATGAAAGAGCTGTGTAGCAGAATTTCAATGTTTTCAAAGGGCCCCATGTCAACGCCATTATAGCAGCTGACGCTAACTGAATAAAAAGAAGTTGAAGTTTGAAATTGACAGCACTATTAGCATTCTCTCTTTGTTAATATTTTGTTCCTCCGACTCACGGCTGACACATTACAGGTACAAAATAGAACAGAGGGATTTTTCAACTGCTCAAATTGTGTTAGTGTTTCTAATTAACATATACTTCCAGACTGGGTGCATTGCATGGACCTGGTAAGCTTGGGTGCGGTAATGATTATGAGTGAAAGCATGGATCCCTAAGGTGATATCAGCTGAAATTAGAGTAGCGCTAAAGGGGCTAAAGACACAAGAGAATTCCATTCAAGAGAAGGATTTAAAATGAAGTCACAGGTGGATTTTCAACCTGTAGTGGGTGGATCAAGGAAAACTGATACTGACTCAAATCTGGATTAAAGGGCACGTACTACGCTATTTTCCGATCTATGTTATAATGCCGTTTTCTCGTCACAACCATTCCTGAAGTGGAGTTTTCTTTCATTCACACGACAGACAAACCATGCATGTTCAGACAATACACCTTGTGATGTCCATTTGGAAGATTTCAGATCTTGAATTGCCAATCTCTACTCAACAAAATGTAAAAAGTTGTTAACTTACTGCTTCATGACATCACAAGGTACAGCAGAACATTTTGAGCTTTGGAGATACAGACATACTAATAATAAAGAAGTACTAAAACATGTGTAAATGAAAAAAAAAATGACTTCAGGTAGGTTTTTAATGAGGCAACAACATTCTAACATGGCTTAAAGTTCACAAGAGTCAGTTTTGCTAAATATAGAACCTTTAATGGGTGTAAAAGACTTCAGATGAATATAATTTAGTCTAATAAGATGATTTTGTTGGTGTCCCTGGTTTGTATGAGTCAGTACCTAAAGTGAAATGCAGAAACAGTAGTGTACTAAAGTAACAAAGACTACAACTGAACATCTGATTAAAGTTAACTAAAATGTAGGCAGAAAAAAAAAATCTATGAATATTAAATCAATCTAGACACAAAAAGCAAGGCCATTTGATATTTGCAACTTAAAATTAAGGTTAAAATGTTGTAAGACCATGTTTATCTTCAAATGAAGTTTTTCATTAAAATGGTTTGAGATGTTTCTTGCTTGTTAGATGTAACAAATTGAATAAAGGAAAAGCTAATTTTGTCATTCATAGTAAAAAAAACGAATCATTTTTATTCTCAAATACTCTGCAGAACATACAAGGTTGCAAAATATCTTCATCTCAACCGATAACAAACTCTTAAAGTACTACAAAGTATTGTCTGTATACCCCAATTCTCAGTCTTTATATTATAGTTTAAGACTGGTTTAAGATAATATTAATTTTAATACAAAATAGTAATACCAAATTCAATAGGTCTGGTGATAATAATTTTATTTTATTTTTTAAGTCTTTGTAGAAGTTATTTTAAACACAAAACAGTAGTAGTATTTATTATTGCCATGTGATCTCTTTTTAGTGATGCAGCTCAAGATCATTTCAGAACTATGTTCTACTCTCTTCGTGATGTTTTAATCAGTATCAAAATCTGTTCAAATTAATATATCATTAGTTTTAGTATCTGGGTGTCTAAGTTTCCATGACAACCCAAGTTTCTTTCATTTTACAACAGCGTTACCTGAAAAGATCAAAAGTAATTCGTAGTATCAGTAATTACTCAAATGAGTATTTAGTTTTATGAGTAGATTTTGTGTCAGTCTAATAGTATTTGGGGGTTTTCACACACCTCCATCCCAGATAGAGTTACCATGGCCCCAGTATGGCCTTCACCAGAGCACCTGCTGTGACACTCTAACCCGAGACCAGGGACCATGGGGCTTTGGACTTACCACTGAGGGGCTGCAGTAGCTACATTCATGTCAACCAGTCTGGGACATTTTGCACCTACTCAGAAAGACAGGTCCGAACTTGGCCCCCAACTAACCTGCTCCAGAACATACTGTACAGAGCAAATGTCTATGGCAGGTTCAAAGCGAGTTTATATGGCCAAACAGAGGTGGGCCAGTGTTCAAATATCAATAAAGGTGCAAAGAAGAAAAATCAACAACTTGGTGTACTCAAATAAATGGTCCTTAAACCTAAACACCTATACATCCAGAAAGAGAAAGTGCTTTCTAATGGATCTCTAAATCATAACGTTCATTATTTAGGGCAGTGTAGATAACTGGATTTGTATTGAGATT